TTCATGCTTTTTTATGTCTTCTATTTTTTGCTGAGACTTTTTTTTTAAGTGTTTGCAGTTAGTCATTTAAGCAATATTATGATGACTACTTTAAAATTTTTGTCAGATAATTCTAACATCTGTCGTCATGGTGTTAACATATACTGATTATCTTTTTTTATTCAGTTTCGGGTAATCCTGGTTCTTGGTATGATGAGTTGTTTGTGCATTGAAATCTGGACACTTTTGTATTATGATATTCTGGATCTTATTTAAGCCTTCCTTTCTTTATATCTTTCTCTGATACCACTCAAGCATTTAGTGAATGAGGGGTAGGGCATCTCCTTACTGATGGGTGGTAATAGAATCCCAGGTTCTCTACTCAGTCTCTGTTCACAGCTAAGGGGGAGGGACTGGCTAGGGGAGATAGGAGTTCCAGCTCCCCACACTGTCTCCTCTCACGCTGTGGTGGGGATGGTTTTGTTTCCACGAAGCAATCCCAAAAGTGCTGACTCTCCCCCAGGCCTTCTCTGACCCCTCCCTAGAGAGGGTTTTGTGGTGCCTTGTTAAGCCTTACAAAGACAAGAGTCTGAGTTTCCCACTGGCCTTTGCTGGTGTGGGTGTGAGTAGGGCCACAGTTTTTTGCTGTGGTGTTTGGCCAGAGTAGAACAGTTATAAATCTACAAGTTTTCTTCCCTAGTCCTTCGGTTAGAGAGAGCAGCTTTCTGGGTCTGTCATACCCAATGGTCCTTCCAGGCTGCCGGCTTCTTCAGCTCTAATCTAGGCTACATGAGGCCAAAAAAGCCCTTGGGAATTCATTGCCATGTCATCCATAAGGTTGCGAGGTCCCCAGGTGGTCTTTTTTTCTGTCTTTCAGAGCCTTCTTATGTCTGTTTTATACATAATGCCCAAGGTTTTAAATTATACTTACTGGGAGAAATAGGGAAAAATACATCTATTTCCATTTTCCCAAGTGGAAAAAAAATCAGGTTCACATTTTTTAAAAATTCCAGGAGATAACCATTTCCATGGCATAACTTTTTTTTAAAAGATTTTATTTATTTATTTTTGTTTGTTTATTCTTAGAGAGAGGGGAAAGGAGGGATAAAGACAAGGAGAGAACATTGATGTATGAGAGAAACAAGGACTGGCTGGCAACCCAGGCATGCGCCCTGACTAGGAATCAAACTGGCGACCTTTCAGACAATGCCCAACCAATTGTCAGAGCTGTGGCATAACTATTAATAGTTAAAATGATATAAGTTTTTCCATAGGGAAAGATATTTTTTACAAAGCTTATTTTTAAGATAAGATTTGAGTAAGATATTCAAAACATTATTCATCTATTCTAATATTTATAAGGCTATCGTATAGAAATGAAACGCACCCAGTGTCATCAACATAATCTGCCTAATTTCACCATACTCTTTACATCAGTCATCCTAAGAAGGAAGCCTGGGACTCCTCGGTCATCCTTCCTCTACCAGATTGTCGTTCTGTACGGCTTATCAGATCTCCTAATCAAACCTTATTTCCATCTGTCTCCAACTCCCTAGATTATTGCTAATTACTCTTTGAAACTCAGGATCCTTGTCTGAACTTTACTATCTGAAACCTGTGTCCCCACCCAAACAAAATCCTGGTTAAAGACTCCCAATTATGGTAAAAGCTAGGACTGAGGATGGCTTTTCTGGAGTTGGTACTGGAAGGCGCAAGCCCAGGCCCCACCCGTAGGCACTGCCTGGAGGAATTAGAGACGTGGAGCCTTGTTATCCAGTGAGTCTCTAGGCGACGGTGAAGAACCTGGTTAGAGACTGGTCTGGCTAGGGAGGCCAAGGTGGAACTCTGTACAGAGTGGCACTGAGAAAACATTTTTATAGTCACCCATAGAAAGGGGAAGATGAATTATGTAAGATAAAAAAAGAGTCATTCTATGAGGATCATGAAATCTGCAACTCAGGAGTTGGGCCAAATGGACATCTTCAGTTTTCTACCAGAGAAAACTTGGTAACAGGTCATGATTGTTTTGTATTTATTTCACTGTTTCAGAAATTTAATCATGATGTTCCTTGGTGTGGTATTCCCTAATTTTTTGTCCTGATTGGGTGTTTTTTTACCTACTTGGATTATGTGAGTTTATAGTTTTCATCAAATTTGGAAGAAAATTGTTTCTTCAAATCTTTCCTGTCCCGCTCATACCCTCCATCTCTCTGTTAGACCACATGATAGTGACCTGTAGGTCACTGAGGCTTTATCATTTTATTTTTGACTCTTTTGTTCTCTATATGCTTCAGTTTGGATAATTCTTATTGTTATGTCTTCAGGCGCCTCTTCTACAACACCTAAACTGTTAATTCCCATCCAGTGAACTAAGCATTTTGGATCTATTATAAATTTTTCATCTTTAAAAGTTCTATTTCTTTAAAAAAGTTTTTATTTCTCATGTCATTATGTTTATATTTTTCTTTGTATCCTCAGGCATATATGTATCAGTTCTCTTAAAGTTCTTGCCTGCTAATTTAGTCATCCCGTAACTTTTTGGTTTGTTTCTACTGACTAATTGTTATCCTGGTTTGGTTATCATTTTTTTTCTTTATATATCTACTAATTTTTTATTGGATGGTGGACTTTATGAAGTTTCATGTTCTGTGCTGGATTTTATCTTCTCTCAAATTGTGTTGGACAGTTTTTGGCAAGCAGTTGTTTATGGATCAGTTTGATCCTGTATTGCAGGGATCAGCAAACATTTTCTTAAAGGGCAGGATAGTAAATATTTTAGGATTGTGGGTTATCTGGTCTCTGTTGTAACTACTCAGCTGTGCTCTTGTAACTGGAAAGCAGGCATAGACAATATATATTAACACACAGGTGTTGCCATGTTCTAATAAAACTGTTTTATAAAACAGTTGACTTGCCCCTGGCTGGTAATTTGCTAACCCTAGCTTTAGAGGTTTGTTTTTAATTTTTGTTAAAGTGGACTTAGAGTTGCGTTATTCTACGGTTATTTATTTATTTCTTTTGGAGTGTCTCTTGATTGCCCCTGTTGTTCAGCAAGGATTCCCTAGCTGGCTGAAGCTCCCACGTTGTCTGGTCCTCTGTGAGCCTTGGAAGCTGTGTAGTCCTTCTTTGCCCAGTCTCATTGAGCTTCACTCAGTACATGCACAGCTCACTATTCAGGCCAGAGCTTCACGCAGGCCCCTAAGCTAAGTTATTGTGGTCTTCTGAAGCAGCTCCCTTCTCTAAAGTACCCTGCCCCTCAAATTCCAATTTTTGTCTTCTCAACTTAGGAAGATAACTGATCTGCTTGGGATCCTTCTCCTTGCTCTCCAATACAAAAAGAGTCTCCAGACGCCCCCCGACCCCCACCCCGTTGGCCCCCACCAAAAAAAAAAAAAAAAAGAGTACACAGGGCACACATTTGTTCTCTTTCTTCCAGGGATCACAGCCTTGTACTGCCTGTTGTCCAATATCTGAAAACTGTTTTATATGTCCTGTCCAGTTCCATAGGAGTTTACAGCAGGGGATTAAGCCCCTTCCCAGCTTTGCCATCGTGGCAGAAAGTTTCTATCATGGCTTTAAAATTAATGTTTAAGTTCCATTCCAGATTAGATTCTCTGGGGGTGGTACCTGGAATTCTGTACTTTTTTTTTTTTTAAGTTCCTCAGGATTCTGATGCACACATTAGAGAATTAGGGCTTTTGAGTTTTGGGCTCTAAGCAGAGATCATTGTGTACATTGAGTCCTGGGGCCTAGTACATCTCAAGCACAGGGGTGCTGACATTTGGGGCTCTAGTCAGACAGAGGGCAGGGAAGGTCACCTAGGAAGGGAGGAGGCTGTGTACAAAAAAGCCTTACTGAAAGGATGATAGGAGATGAATTTCCACTATTTTGGAGTTTTGAATCTAAGGCCTGTGCCTCTTTTTTTCTCAGTCACCAGATGAAAACAGTGGCCAGACACACCCGTTCTTCCTTCTCCTCCTCACTACTGTGGTAGACCTTGCTCGTTATCTGTAGCCTCTGGGTTACTAGAAGTGAGAAGGGTGGAGTTTTGTAGAATATTCCATTTCTACAGTTTTAGGGCCAAAGCCCTGGCCCAAGCTTTGCCTTCGCTCATACCCTCCCCAAACTGATGGAGGAGGTTGAGAGAGAACAGGGTGGCTTCTATCTGCCTGTGATCATTTCTCTCCTTCCTCCCACTTTCTGTGAACCCACGCCCCCCACCCCCCACACACACACAGAGGTTTTTGTTAGGTAAAGCAGGTTAAGGTAATACTTTTTTTAACTTACTTTATGTGTAGCCATCCACAGGTATGTGAAGAAACTAAAACTGACATCATTTCGGAGACCCTTTATCGAAACAGGGTAAACAGGGAAGGGTGAATGTGCTTCCTAGGAGATCTGAGCTTCTAATGCTAAGGGACCACCGCAGTAATAAAATTATTTTGAATTACTTTGTCTTAAAAATAAATGCAAGTTGTGTATTTTATTCTTTCATATATCAGTATTTGTTTTAATATAGAAGTGTTCTAACCACTTAATAGAATTGATACTTCAGAAAAATGTACCATCTTTATCGTGTGACTTCATATACCTCTTGATATGCCAGGAGATTTTAGAACTTCCCTGCTTGGTGAAGCACAACAGTAGAAGCAATTTGGGGGTCTTTTTTGTTTGTTTTTAATAATGTTTAGTTTCTAAATTTTAAATTACATTGTAGGTGATACAGGACTTGGAGATATACCCACCAGATAGTTGATACATGTTTACATGAATGTTTCTTTAAAGGGAAAGTATATTTTAAATTCTAGTCAACCTTTTTTGAGAAGGACTTGATTGTTTAGAGCATACCAATCATTTTTTTTTTTATTAACTCAGAAATATTCTTTATTCCTTGCATTCTTATAGAATGAGTTTTCGTGAATACAGGGGTACTGATGCCAAGTTATCAGGTTTTATATAAAGTAGTGGTTTCACATACACCTAATTTCCACTGAAAATGTCTTTTCTTTGCCATTCTGCAGTTCCTTCTCCAGGCAAATTCCGCTCCCCTGCAGCACCATCTCCTTTGGCTCTCCGACAACCAGTAAAAGCATTTAGTAACCATGGCTCTGGCTCTCCCGGTGGCCAAGAAACAACACAACTCACACAAACCACCTCCTCACCCGGGCCTCCCGTGGTTCAGAGCACCGTCCCAGCAAACCCTCCCAGCAATATCAACAGCACTACTCTAACCAGACCTGCAGGGACAACGGTGATGAGAAGCGGCTTGCCCAGACCCAGTGCCCCTTCTGCTGGGGGTATACCAGTGCCTCGCAGCAAACTTGCACAGCCTGTTCGCAGGTAAGTAGTAAATGCCCTTTCGCAGCATTCTTCGGCAAGGAAAGTGGGTAGGCTGGTCTTACACTCACCCATCTTTGCATTTGATAGTGAACATGGAGAGTTCTCATTGGGTTGTCACTAGAATCTTAGTGCAATATGACTCAAAAATTTTTTTGAATTGTTTTAAAAGAAACCTTAGTTGGGACATTTAGGGTGTTATGTCACTTTGGTTCAGATTAAATTTGCCCTGATACCTAACATTATTAAGCATCTCAGATAGTAAAGGCATATTGGACCATGGAGTGAGATATAAAATTTCTAGCTACCAAAGCTGAGTATAACCCAAGAGCTGATTCTCAAACCTTGCTACAATTCAGAATCTTCTGTGGAATTTATATAAACATAGAGGCCTAAAGTTTACTGCCAAAGAGTTGATCTGGTATGAAGACCAAAATCTGTGGGAATGCTGTTTTTGTTCGTTTAATCTTCAGGTAATTCTGGTCCCAGCCAGGTTGGTAACTATGCACTTGTAATCTATCTACCTTTCAAGAATGTGATTACCACTATCAGTAAATTTAGGTGTCAAAATTAAATGTTAAATATTTATTTGAGTGTAAAAAATGTGTTCATCCCATAAGCATTTAAACTGTCCATACTTTTTTATTCTAAGATAAACATACTACATTTCTGAATTCAATAGTAGAGTACAACAGCTTTTTGTTATACACTCTGCTAAATAACTTACATGTATCTTCATTTTTGTAGTAACATTAAATGCACAGGTACTGTTGTTACTCCTATTTTCAGAAAAGAATATTGAAATTTAAGGAGGTAAATAAGGTTGGTAATCCATGTGGTCAGTGAAGATGAGATAGTCTTTTCCTTTTTTTACTCCATGAGCTGTGTTAACAACAAGGGGTTAGCGAGGCCACCTGGTGCCCAGTGAAACTTGAAAGTTGTGGAAATACTGAGTGTGGTGTGGTTGGGTTTAGAGCGTTGATCTCAGCCTTCATTGGATTGTGGTGCCCTACAAAGTAATTACCCCATGTGGGAAATAGTATGGTAATGTTTGATTTAAGCCCGGCAGATCACTTTATAAAATTGCTTTATTTCAGATCCTTGCCAGCTCCTAAAACCTATGGTAGCATGAAAGATGACAGTTGGAAAGATGGCTGTTACTGACCAGCAAAGAGAAGAATGCAGAGGTCCACAGCTCCACGGATACCCTTCACCAGGCTAACAGACAACTTTTATATGCAGACTGTTCACATAAGACTCTTGGGATTTATAAAATCCCATCCCTCTCTGTCTTAATTAGCACAAACTGACAGAGATGATCAATCAGCACTTTAATGACATTTAACATCAGATGTGTTTGGTAATCATACAATCACTCTCCATAGAATCACTTTTAGTTTTGTTTAACAGAAACTAAGTTGATTGTTAAATATTTGACAGAGGCCAATTTTTGGGCAGAAAAAAAAAAACAACTAATGGATGCCAAAGAGAAAATGCCCATTTGTAAACTAGAGTACCTTTGTGTACAAGAAAATGGTGAATTCAAGCTATCCAAAACTTCACGTTCGACCTAATTTACTGTATAAATGGTATCAATAAATATCTGTGTTAATGAGAACTAATATTCTGATTAATTATCTAAAATGTTTCACTAGTATTTCACTGGTACTCCAAGAAACCAGACTGAGATGAAAGAGGATAGGGGCTAGAGGTTTGAAACATGATAACTAAATTTGGGAAAGTTCTATAAATTATTTTTGCAGATTCATTAGGGAAGAACATATCATTTTGTTTACTCTTAAGTTTTGGCTGTAGCTCACATATCAGCACCACCAGATAGTGTTACAGCGCGCATCCATCACGTTGCATCGACACATCGGACTTCTCTGTGTTTGTTTTGATTGCCAAAAGGGCTTAATGTCAGTTGTACAATCTTTCTAAACTTTATAGCTCCTGGCTCAGGAAAGATAGCCTTTGCTATTGAAGCCAACTTCTTCACATGCTGTTATCTGTTACAGAACTAAGAGATCTTGTTTTTATTAGCATGTTTCCATGATGGGAAAGAGCAAGTAGTATACGTCTTTATTCTTGATAGAAATAACACCACCTCAGTGCTTACAACCTGGAACAAAACAATACAGTGAGAGAGAGGGAGAAAAATTCTATGCACTTAACTTATAAACTCTCTGGTAATGACAGTTGTATTGTTGCTATTCAATGACACAACAGTCTGTTATGTGGTAGGAGAATAGCCTGCTGAATCCTACCTAAGTTGATCCATTTTAAAGTGAGTAACTGTATAAAACATCCTTTGAAAATACTGTCCCTTTTGACTTTGATTCTGCCTTATATCAATTTTTGCATTTTTGGTAACAAATGAAACCCAGTACATGTGACTACATGTGACTCTAACCCTAAAATACTTGGTCTGTAATGGCCTGTTTGTATACCTGGGAATCACTTTGTTGTTGTGTGGTTTTCTTTTTTCTTTTTTTAGGCTATTACCAGACTAAAACGTCCTCTATAGCAGGCCTCTCATTTTTTTCACAAGAGGTCATTTTTTAAATATTTAATTTGAGCAGCTCTAAAATATTGGCAATCAAGTCACCTAGAGGATTTTAGAGATCTGAACATAAGTTTATTTCCTGTTAGTCAAAGACATTCAGTAAGTTGGCAAAAGAAATTGAGAAATGGGAAGCTGGCTATTCGGGAGAGCGTTGAGGTCTACATGTTGAGAGGACGATAAGCTTTCAAACCAGGACCCCTGCTCCACCGTGACAGAGGCCGGGGGAGCCCTGAGGAGCCTGGCCAGCGGGCAGCCGTTCCGTCACTGCCAGTGCTAGTGCACTTCACTGCGCAGTGCGGGCACGGAACTTTGTCCTTGGACTTGAGGGCGACGGGGATGGTTCAGGAAAGGATGGCACCAGAATTCCACATGATGACGAACTAAAGTATGTTCAGAGAAGATCAAGAAAACATCTGCTTTGGGTGTGTGAGGGGGTATCCCATGTAAAAATCTAAGTAAAAGAAAGAACTAGCCACTGTCTCTTTTTAAAACCACATATACGCAAAACAAAATAGGTCTCAGTCTTCAGTGCAACATTGCAAATATATATATATATGTGTGTATATATATATATATATATATATATATATATATGCTGCAATATAATAATTAAGACGAATTTTAACTATTATGAAACACCCATTACATTTTTAAGTTAGATTAACGGTTTCAAAAGGAGTATTCAGGTTATTTAACTTCATTTTTAAAAAGCTGCATCAGAAAAAAAAATGTCTATTTTTTTTAATTAAAATATTTCATCACATGTTAAAAATGTATTTGGATCTGAGTTGGGTAAAGTATTATTTTACCTGCTGTTGTACTACCACAGACTATTGGCTTTTAGTTTCCTAAAAAGAAAAATTGTTTTTTTACTAGAAAGCCTTTGTGTATTGCCAATTTTTCTATTTGGGAAAATCCAAGGATTCACTGTGGTTAGTCTTACAGGAGAAATGTGGATTTGATAAACTAGTGCCTATGATTTTAACTTATGTTTGATATATAGTAGTAAGGTTTTATGAATGTTGATTATTTTTTTTGTGCCAACAGCTCAGAATTGTCACTTATATGTAAGCAGAAAGATATGAGCTCTGCTTCCAAAGTTATTTAATTTTCTCAGTGTTTGAATGTTATTTTTTTGTGTGTTAATAAAAGTGTAAAGAATTGGAAAAAATATAAATATTCTTAACTCAAGCATTTGCTGGATCATTTTTCTACAAAACTTGTTTGTAATATAAGACACTCTCTGAAGAGTTGACTTTTCAGTTTTCATTCCCTGGAAATCACATTTTGTAAAACTGGGACCATTCATAATTGTCAGATACTTTTTAAAATTATTATCTCAATACATCACTTTTATAAAAAAAGTTTTTTTGAAAGGAAATTCAATACATGTGTCCCCAGATGTTTGTATAACTCGAGGACGATTAGACTGTGTATGTTTAAATGAACTTTTTATCAAATGTACAGGCATCGGTTTTTGACATTACGCACGGTCCTTTTAGATCACATGAAGTTTGACTGGCAAACATTTCTAATAGCCGAACTTGTATGTGTGGTTGCCTCCTTAATAAACAGCCTGACCATAATGTTTATTATTAAATTTATATTTGTTTTTCAAGTGTTTTATTAATTTCTGGATATGGTGAGATCCCCCCACCCTCCCTGCCACTTTCCACTAGTTGCCTACAATTGGTTTTAATACATTTCTTAGTTGATTTTTTTAAACACGCAAACCCAAATCATATTTGATCTGTATGAAGTTGGAATGTATCATGTTATATTTTCTCTGCCCTGGTTATTTCATATGTGGATTACTTAGACTAAATTTATAGTTTACTGAAAATTGGTATGTTCCTGGAACTCTTTCAGCTGCTGTAAATTGATACCTAGTTAGAAAGAGTTAACATACATGAAACAAGTAAATGCCAATTGTGTAAGAGTTTCCAACAGAGAAAATGAATATATTTTCAAAGCAAATGTGGATATTTATTTAGTTGATCATGTGCATCTTCTCTCATGGATGAACGGGGAAAAAATCAAGAACTGTACACTGTTTAATTAGTTCCCCACATTCCTTTTGGAAGTTTTTACTGTCCTCCATGTTACAATTTGTCTCAATAATGAGGGATAAGAGAAATGACTCTTCATGTTTGAATTTTTCTCCTGAGTCAACGTAAAGATTTCTAAGAACCATTTAAAAATTAAATGTCAAAATACTTGTAAATCAATGAATGAGAAGTTAACTTGTTAGGTGCCAGTGCAACAGGAAAACCCACATAGAGATTCTTGCGAAGGATTTGCTGTGTCTAAGTTCAGCTTTGAAGTATAAAAACAGCGTAAACGCTAGAAGAACTAATTTGGGGGGAGATAGCAAACAGGGTGTTCGCCCAAGCATGAAGCCAAAGTTAGCACCCCCTGATGTATTTTGTATTTTGAATGATCCTAAACATAAGTCTGAGGAGACCAAATGAAATGGTCCTCTGATTACTGTTCTAAAAACGAAACAGATTTCATTCATGGACCTTACATAATACAACTCAGGTAAAACTATGCTCAGCGATGCCAATTTCAAACCAATTCTTTATCTACACTGGGTAACTTTAATGTTTATTTTTTAAAAAGAAAAAAAATATGATTTTGAAAGTAATAGAGATGCACTGCTTAAAAAATATATATAACGGTGAAAATGATCCTGCATTTCACCTAGGGATCCTGCAATCTAGAAATAAATATTTAAATGCTGACCTAATATGGTTATAAAATACTAAGTGGAAGGGTAGTTTTCTGTTTATGATGAGAAAATATTTTTCACTTACAGTGCTGACATGGTTTGCCTTTGAACAGAGGCATGCGCTAATTGCTATTGAAAGTTTAACACAGATTTTCAATTCCTGATTGCAGATATTCCTTGATTTTTTAAAAAATCACATTTACTGTTTGTATCTTTGTACTATTAATTTGGTTTCTCTTATAGAAATTTTTATTACAGAATATGAAATATAGTAAATTATAGTGAAGGAAACAGTTCCATGGGTAATTGACCACCTAAATTTGAGGAGATTATCTTTGGGTTTTATGGGGGGAGTTTAGATGAATTGGGCATCATAGTCATGGTTGAAAGTGTAACTTTTTATTAACTCTGATGTCAAAACTGTCATAATTTATAAATGGATCTGGTGCTGAAAATCAGCTCCAGGAAAACTATACAAGTATTCATTCCAAAACTTTACCAAACCTGTATTATTGTAGTTCTTCATACAGGGTCCGGCAGAAGTAATGCCTGCTTGAGAGTGGTTGGTAGGGTACTAATATGGATGTAATAATGTATAGTTTAATTTGAACATTTCAGCTAAAATATCATATGGTGTGCTTGAGTGTGATATTGTTATATTACAGAATTACATGCTTATGATTTTGTAGTAAAAGATTTTGTAATAAAAAGGGCGTTATTTGTGCTGGACCCCTGTATAATATACTTTATTGAACTGCACCACACAGTCTACCAGACTGAATTGACAGTTATCAGTTGAATACAATTTCAGTTTTAGAACAAAACGCCTTGGAAGAAATAATAGGTACAACCCAGGCTGGAGTGGCTGAGTGGATTGAGCAGCAGACTATGAACCAAAAGCTGTCTCGTTTGATTCCCCATCAGGGCACATACCCGGGTTGCAGGCCAGGTCCGCAGTTGGGGGTGTGCAAGAGGCAACCAACTGATGTTTCCCTGGCGCATGGCTATTTCTCTCCCTCTTTTCCTCCCTCCCTACCCACTCCTCCCTCTAAAAATAAATATTTTTTCTTTAAGAAATAATAAGTACAACCAAATAAAGGATCCCGATAGTCTAGAGCTCTTGAACTTTAGAATCACCTGACAGGCTGTTAAAATGCGCATTTCTGCACCCCACCCTGTGAGTGTCTATTCGAAAGTAGAACTATGGTCACAAGGACTACAGTTCTAGGAATAGGGTTCCCCAGCACAGGTCAGGTGCCATCCCTGGACTAACTGGCTGTGGCCAAGTGACTGGGGTTAGAACCATGTGTCTCGTATGGAAACCTTATGGATGGAAGGAGAAAGACCATTTTTCCTGAAAGTGGTGCCATCCCCAGTAAGTGGGCGAACAGAACAATGGGTGCACACCACAAATGTCTCAGTGTGCATCGTATAAAGGGATTGGTTTTTGTCAGTGATCATATTTTCCTGGAGGAAACATTTGTAGTGAGAGAAGTTTCTGATCGTATTTGAGCCCTCGGCTGAATTGTTCATAAGGCCCATCCTTGAATTCCACTTCAGTGCCCTTGGTATAAATTCCCGTAAGTACACAGGTCAATTTAGGCTAAGAATCTGCCATTGGCCCCCGGGAGGAAGAGTTGGCTTTTCAAAAATTTTTAACTGATTCATAAAATATACACAGAAAAATGTACAAATGAATGTTCAGCTCCCTGAATATACCACCCAGTGACTACAGAAGTAACTGCTGCTGTAGGAAGCAAGGCTTCCCGGCTCCGAAAAGCTCTCCCAATGCCACCTGCTAAGCGCTCCTGCCTTCCTCTTCAAAGCCAGCCATCCTGACTTCCAACATAATTTACCTTTGCCTATTCTTGAACTTCGTATAAATGGAGCCACACACTTTTGTAATTTTTTTTCTGCCTACTTTATTTTGATTAAAAGCTAAGAATGGGGTTTTTCTGAGACACTAAACAAAAATGTGGGATTCACTTGTTAACGATGTTGCTATAGTTTGTTCTCATGGCCGTATTTTATGCCATTGTATAAATATATCACCATTTGCCCATTCTCGTGTAGAAGGACAGTTGGGTTGTTTCTAGTTTGGGTCTCTTAAAAATGATGCAGCTTTGGACTTCAGGCGTAGTCAAGTGGAATAAGCCCTTGGAAGTCTTTCCCACTTACAACTAAATATTTTGGACAAAATGCAAAAGGCACCTACCTGAGGACACTGAAAAATAAAGCATGCAGATTGGCGAGGAGAGTCAGACCTGCAGAAGAGACCCAGGCTGGGGGTCTCCCTCTTCGCCCCCTGGGCCCTGCACCCGTCGTGGGCACCCAGCAGAGCTGCCCTCCTGGCTCTCCCGGCAAGTTAAACCAGAGGAAACAGGGAAAATCTATGAATGAGAAACCCCTGAAGACCAGGGGGGAAAGGAGCTACTGGAAGCTAGAGCACGTTGGGAGGGTGTTACTTTCTCTTTCGTAACTGCTGCTTCTGAAGGAGAAAAGTTGAGAAGCACGCCACTTTTAGGAGAATTGAACAGTCAGTCCTGCCGCAAGAGGGCACTCTTACAAAGGAAACAAGTCCTGGTTAACCTAAAAGCAAGAGTGGCTTGGTCTCCAGGGTCACATTATGAAGCTACTAACCACTTTGGGAAAACACTATGGTTGGCTTTCTTTAAAAATACTTCATTGCTTCGTTCAGTCATTGCCTGCAGCTATTTTTCTCATCCGTGCTCAAACCACCCTCAGCCTCACCATGCCACAAACTTTCCGGGCCTTCAGGTGTGCCCACCTCAATGGCAAAGCATGCCAACTGCCTCGTTGTGTTTGCCTCATGTTTTCCAGCAGACTAGGCTTCTGTTTCCCAGGGTAGCTTTGAGTATGCAAAAAATGCAAAAGAGGAATTGCCCCAATTTCCATTCTGGGTTTGCTGACTTAAGAACAGGTAGTATGTTTCAAAATCTAATTGCTGGTTTCCATTGAACCAATATTTCTCCTATTTTCTTCAGTAGTCTTAAAAGGCTCGGTTAAGTGATTTCCAGAAAACATGTAGCAGAAATAAATTCCTTTCCATTCCAAAACTTAAACCATCTGTTTTGTGTGTAGAGGTTGTTCAACTAAAGAATAAATATCTATTAAACTTAAAAAAAGAAACTGAGAAAACTACACCCTGAAGATAAAATATAAGTATAAAAATTATAAATGGTCTTCAGCACTGTTGTAGGAAATCTGAGTATGTGGTAGAGCAGACAAGACCATGTTGGGCCCACCTTGTTCTACCATTTAGTAGCTGTGTGACCCTTATCAGAGAACTTCATTAAATTTCAGAATCTCCCTCTACCCCTGACAATAAAGGCTTAATCATAAGATATAAGATATATCACAAATGTGCTGTGCAGATTAAAAGAAACAAAGCATAGCCCTGGCCGGTGTGGCTCAGTTGGTTGGAGCGACGTCCCATGGACCGAAGAGTCCCGGGTTCCATCCCTGCTTGGGGCCCATGCCTAGGTCGCGAGTTGGCTCCCTCGTCAGGGTGCATACAAGAGGCAACTGATCGATGTTTCTCTCCCACTCTTTCTCCTTCCCTTCCCCTTGCTAAACATGTTCTCAGGTGAGGATAAAAAAAGAAGAGACAAAGCATCTAAGAAGCTTCACATAGTGCCTGGCTCTCAGGAACATTAATAGTTACAATTACTAAAAATATTTAGGAGTAATATTGGTCAGTATATATTGGGCTTCAAGTAACAGAACTTAAATTTTCAGGGACATATATAAATATTCAAAAAGTCCAAATTAGGTTATTGGTGGTGTTGGTTCAGTATTCGACAATAATTTCAGAGAACCAGGCTTTTTCTAACTTTATGCCCCACCATCCTT